TTTTACGTTTTATATTTACTAGACGATGGATAATATCCAAGGAAAAAGTCCGGAGATAGGGATTAGCTCTATCTAGTGGGCCCAACTGTGTAGGAACCTGAAGACGGAGATAGAGTCCCATCTCCGAAACGTCGTTTTACGTTTTATATTTACTAGACGATGGATAATATCCAAGGAAAATTTTTATTCAATTGAATCTTCACCATCGTCAAGAAGTTTTAGATTTGATATAGATTAATCTAATTCGGTTCTTGTGAACACTATAAAGTCTATTCATATTTCATAAAAGACGGAATTCCGCGAACTGATCCACAATTCGTTTCTCAATAAGGATTTTGCTCCCAACACGTGAAAGGAGTTAAATTTAAAAAAAAAATACTGTTTGTCCGTCCGCATATTTCAACTGGAAAGAAAAACCGATTTGCTCGAATATGGTCAGGAGTTATACCATTGAATGCTAACAAAAAACCATGAAATTTTAATTTGTTTTATTTTTGGTCAATTATGATTCTAAGCGGCGTAACATCCCAGAGAAGCCAAGCATCTCCATACTCGACGCCATAAGTATATATGAAATCTCATGATCATTTCGCGAACGATTAGCAATGTTATGAGAGCTCTAATATAAATTCTGCAGTCACCACTGTACCAGCGTCGGAAACCCGGGATTTTGAAGAATTACATTCGTGGATCACTAAAGCAACAGCTATAATCAAACTCCAAGCTTAGTTTCACGAAGATTTGTGTGTATGAACACGTAAGCCACTACACACTCATAGCTATGAATAACCCATCCGGTGAAGGCACATAATCTACAAAGTCAACGTCCCTCGTGATACCAGACCTTAGACCAGCTCAAACCATCTTAAATTCTCACAATCAATTTCCTTAAGAAACATTACAAATGTCATCTTCCCAAGTTTCTACAGCGCTATGAATTTCATAGTAAATGATTTTCCTGAAGCCCCCTGACAACCGTCAGTGTAAGATTATTCAATATTCTAGCAGCTGCAGTCTGCATCTGATCCACAATCCGAGGTAGCGAAACGTCGCGATTCACTAAAAAGAAATTGACATACAAAATATTAAATAAAAAACTTCACCTGGCATTAAAATCGATAGTTTCGATTATGCATGGCGTCTGTAATACGTCATAAATCAGGTGGACGCGGCCAACATGAAAGGACACGTGTATCGCATGGCATCCTATAAATTTGTACACGCCACTTCGAAAAGGAATGCAGACAACGTAACAAACAGAAAGGAAATAAACTAGTAGGATTTCTTTCCCCAATATGAACGCTAAGAAGAATATCTAAACCCGGTCACTGACGTCAGACGGTTGCTAACGGAGATGTCAGTAAACGAGAGATTTCGTCCGATCATGAATTTCTCCTTCCCACGTTCATACGAGGTGCGATCGGAAAGTTTCTAGACTGTGTCAATAGAGGGCGAACCGGATGTAGTACGAGCTTCTGCCGCTAGGGGGTGCGGCCTACATTCATAGTGAATCAGTGTGCCAGCCGGCATCATCCTGTGAAATGCTAAAGCAAGCATTTGGGGAGTCCGCAATGGGTCGTGCACCAACTTTTGTGTGGCATTCACGTTTTAAAAATGGCCGAACCTCTGTCGATGATGACGAGCGTTCTGGACGACCATCTTCGAGCACAACGCCCGAAAATGTTACGAAGATCGACGTCGTACCATCAACGACTTGTGCGGCATTGTTGGGATAGGCTATGGGACCTGTCCGCTGATTCTAAAGGAAGAACTCCACATGCGACGCATCATGACAACGCGCCAGCGCACACCGCCCTCAAAGTTCGGCAGTTTTTGGCCTCAAACACCATGGCCGTCATCCTGCACCCTCCTTATTCGCCGGATTTAGCTCCGTGTGACTTCTTCCTCTTTCCAAAGATGAAAATTCAGCTAAAGGGAATGAGATTTGAGACGATAGAAGAGATTCAGGCAGAATCGCAGATGGTGCTTGACCGGCTGACAAAGAAAGATTTCCAGGGATGCTTCCAGGCTTGGCAGCGGCACTGGGGTCGTTGTGTTCACTCCCAGGGGAACTACTTCGAGGGTGATGGATGAATTTAATACCTGAGATAAGTGTACGGGTTTTTATACGCGCAGTCTTGAAACTTTCCGATCGCACCTCGTACATACCAACAGATGATTCCAGGCACACAACCTCAAGACGGAAACTCCGATATTCACCGAGACGTTCAATTATCCAAAGAATCCAGAGATACATAAATTCTCCGATGTTACTGTATGAAGTATATTCTCCCTGTTCGTGAGATGTTTCGATCAAATTTCTATGTATTTCGTTTTCCTTATTGTTTGCAGCCTGCCAGGCGTATCAACGCCGCCCTTTTAACAAATTAGCAAACTAATGAAATATTTCATAAGGAATTCGTGCAAGAAAATCACCGGAAGTCTCCAGAAGTAACTCATGATCGTTTACCAAACCCGGGCAGGGGGGCTTACGAGGATAAACAAGGAAAAAATGTCATCTGCTACGGATTCACGTAATTTGATAAGGCAACCTCTAGCAGGAAACAGATCCTGGAGTTGATTTTGTAACTACATTGCTACTCCATTTTACTACATGAATGCACCACCAATAACTTTTTAGTGATGTCTTCGGGAAGCAAGCATTCGCTTATGGCTGAAGGCGCCAAGACATAGTTTCATTTTCTCCTGTATGTTATGCAATATGGTTATCTTTTCCATGCGTCATTCATAGAATTCCGAATGAGTCAGGGTAACTTCATCAGCAATGTGACTGCCTAGAAGGGCAGGATATTTCTCTTCGTAACCACTCAGATAGGCTATGGACTCCAACCAACCTGTCAATGTGCACCGGACAGTGGTTCCCCACGCTGACCACTCACTTGCAGAAAATGCCCAGGTCAAGGATGCGTGGAGATTCCTTCATCAACACTCATTTAATATTATTTCATGTCGTGCTGCTAATGAATGGTGGAAATTTTGAGACCCTGAGACTCCCACTCAAAAAACGTGTAATCATTATTAAAAGTTACGGAGATCTGCCGATGGATTTTAGTAACTGACTCCATGAATGTGAGACCTGGGCAATGTGATAGGGGATACGTGAAATTTAAAAAAATATATATTATTTTATGAAAAACACTGAATAATCAGTAATGTAATTTATTTAATTTATTTTAGATGTAGATTATATACTACGTATAACTTGAATTATACACCAACAACTGTGGGGGTACAAAGTTGAAGAGAAATTACATCTGGGGGTACGCGAACAAAAAAGGTTGAATACCACTGAGCTAGTCGATTCAGCAGCACAACTCTTAGGATCAAGGTCTGAACAAGTGTAAGGAAACACACACGATGCATTCCCTACTCGCGGCGATACGAAGTATCTGGATGCTGAGGACGCACGTATCTATTCCAAGAGGGATTCCAGTGTGTGAATCATCTCGAGAGAAATGTAAACTGTTGCGTGGATACGGCAATTCAGTTATTTCTGGAACCTTCAATGACGCAAGTTGACTGAGGGCGGTTTGCCTGCTTCCACCTTCATTTGCAAAACTTCGCCATAATTACTAGTAACTGTCGCAAGACATAAAACGGAGGTTGTTAAACGAGCCCATCTCGGAAACTATCAAAACACTCACCACTGCTGATGCTTCAATTTATGAAATAAAATATACGGGATTGTAACGTAGTAAGAGGCGAATAAGCACGTTTTTACTCTCGTAGAAGTTGTTACTTCTCATCCTTAAGAAAAATATGGGGGGAAAAAAAAACCAAACCAGTTTTCATAGTCTCAGCGGGATGTCGAAAAATAACGACTATAATCTTCGATGTTACGTGGCGTTTAACAGAAGCGGATAATTAAACACCTTTTAGACACAAAATGTTGGATCATCTGTGTGACGTTTCGCGTATCAGCTCCTGAACGACGGATCGAACTCCGATACATACAATTCTGATACAGAAGACAGAAGGAGTATAAACAAGGGGGCATTCCTTCTTAGTTTAAAAATTCTGGTTCGGTTTAATGCAATAATTAACAAGTTTCGACGTCGAAGAAGCCGCGATGTCCTGCAGATGAGAACGTGGGGACCAGAAACGCTAAATGGTATTGGAACTTCTGTCAAGTGTTAAATTATTCAGGCAGTTTCAAGAATTTCACGAACATGTAACTAACAGGCGTAAAAATACGTTTTTGCTTACAGTTTTCCTCGATTTTGTCAAAACCCAAG